TTTAATAAACTAAAATAAAATAAACAAATAAAAGACAACTTCTAACTATATACTAATACTTCAAATCTAGATGGACTTTGATTATCATATTTGGTTTATATCACAGATAAACTAGTCTGAGCTCTTATTCTTGCATATAATTTTTATTTTGTTACAAACAATCTTAGTTTATTTTAGTACTCTTGTACTAAAATGTACAGTTAAAATTATTAATAAAGATATAAGCAAGGCCTCACCTTAAGACCAAAAAAAAAAAAATAAAAGACAAAATATGCAATTTTTACAAATTTAAAAAGCTTAAATAATTAATAAAAATATTTATATTTAACTAATTCATATAAATAAAATAAATTAGCTAAGTACAGTATTTATAAATAATTCTGGCCAAAGAGCTTATATTTTAAATTTGTTAATAATAGTTTTTTACTATTATATAAATGCTTTAATATATCTACTTAATAGTAAAAATTAAGTAAAATTATATATATAATGTAGTTATTTATAAAGAACTTTCTATTTATCAACTAAATTTATATATAAATTATTTATTTATTGTAATAATTAGAAAGTTTTTTATATTTACTAGCCAAATTAATATGAATAATATAAGACACTTTTAACAATATGACTAATCATTATATTTGACACAAAGTTATTAGATTTTATTGTTCAATTAAGGTGCTTTGTTTTAAAAATATGACTCTTTTTATTTTGTGAATTTAGAATAGTAACTATACTAAAATTAAAGTAAAAGTCTAAATGAAAGTTAGTTAACATTAAACTAAGTAAAAGTTAAAATAAAAGCCAAGATAAACATTAAAATAAAAATTAAAACAAAGGTTAAGCTAAAGATTGAAGTAAATATCAAAGCAAAAGTAAAATTAAAACATGACTTAAATAGTAATTTGTTTATAAAATTACATAAAGTTGTTTAAAAATCTAGCTATTATTTTTATTTTAAAAAATGCTATATAAGCTATTTATATTTTTATGCATAGGTGCAATTCTTCTAAGTCATTTCATAATTTATATTGATTCTAAATTGACCTAGATCATTCATAAATTTTTACTAATTTAGAAATGACTCAAATTAATTTCTATAAAATTTAAAAATCAGAATGTAACTAATTATTGAATGACAAATATATATCAACTACTTTATTATATAAAAATAATTTAGTTAATACTTATTTGTTATGCAATTATTTGTTATACCTACAGTAGTGCATTAATTATTGATATAATAAATAAGCAACAATTAATTAATTTATATAAATAAATTAGTTAATTTTTATTTGGCATACTTAATATCTAAGAAGTGATTATCATTAATTTTATAATAAAAATTTAAAACCCAAAATTATTATGTAAAAAAATTTTAAATGTTTAACTTTATCGATAATTACAATTTTTTTTTGTTAATTTTTAAAATAGAAAGTTATAATCTTTTGATATGTAAAATTTTTAATTGAATATTAAAAGCTTTTATTCATTAAAAAAAAACAACTACTGTTTAGTAAATTAAATAAATATAAATATTGTTTAACTGTAATTAAAAATCACAACATTTTATATAATTCAAAATTTAAAAACTAAATAATATAATTTTAAAATTATTTACATTAGTGCAACTGAAAAACATTATATAATAATTAAATGACCTGAGTATACAAATTTGTTCTGTCAAAAACTTTTTTATGCCTTAATATATATTTTTTTATTGTATTTTTTTTGCATTTTTTATTAATTAAATAAATTTTTTATTATTAATTTGTATTGTGTATTTTTTATCTTTTTTATTTGAAGCATTAAAACATTTATTAATGTAATTAAATTTTATTATAAAGAATTTTTATAAGTTTCTGGTTTCTTTTTTATAATTGTAATTTTTACTAATTAAGAAATGACCTTGGTCATTTCAATTTAAAAATGATCTAAATCAATTCAGAATCAATCTAAATCATGAAATAACTTAGAACATTCTTACAAGTATGATCTTACTATACTTATAAGCTTACTTATAAGTATGGTCATCTTTTTTACTTATAAGTTTAATAAGTTTAATTATTAAATATTCATATATTTTCTACTATACTACTTTATATATTACTCCTTTGGAGGTTTTTACATTACTACATATTATAATTTTAATACAAAATGGCTTAAACTTGTTAGAATTATTATAAATAATGTTTTATTTGATATTCTGATTTTCTCAGATCAACAATCTTTATATTCAATTTAAGTAATATAATGGTAAATTAATAAAAGTTAAAAACTTGTAAAACTTTATAAAATAGTACAGGAAGTTGCCTATAAATAATATATTTTTATAGAAAAAAGTTAATAAAAAATAAATCTGCTTTGTTATAAATAAAGTAGTAATAACATTTACAAAACCTTATTGCTTATTGAACAGTGCAGAAAATGCAACAATTTTTATAATACTGTATTGCAAATTTATATGCAGTATAAGATTTAATTAACTACATAAATATGCTAACTTGTAAATTATTGCATTTAACAGGTTTTTGTTTTGTACATAATGATTACTTATTAAATTATTTTTTTTTATTTTATTGACTTTGAATTGTACTAACTGTTTATTTCATAGAAATGCAAATTTTGAATTAAATTAGTTTGCAGTATCAAGTTTTAATATGTATTTATGCTTACAATTAGTAAATTCTAAATTTCTATAATAAATGCAATGTTTTTTAGGTTATTAAAATTTACTTTACTGAAAGAACATAATTCTGAAAAAGTTGGTTATTCTTAAGTTAGTGCTAGCTGATTTAGCTAATATTATGTTTTTTTAGAAAAATAGCTTTTAAAAAATAATATTATAACCTTATTTAATTAGGCACAGGATTTTGCAAATAAAATTCTATGTTTATAAATAAAAAAAAACTCTTACTTTTAAAAGGTAATCAAAAAAATAATTTAAAAAAATTATATTATAATTGCTATTATTATAACTAAAAAAAAACATTGACTCTGTCTTAAAATTAAAACAATCGATATGTAAAATTTTCAAACCCTATTTTCTAAAAGGACATAATTTTGCCAAATCAGTTGGCATTATAGCTAACTTTGTTAAGATTATGTTCTTCTGAGAAAGTGACTTTGGAAATATAATTGAATATTTAATTAAACATAAAAATTGAAATATAATATTATAATATTTGTATTACTTTTCTAATAATATTAACAAGAAAAAAATGCAACAAAATTTTATTGGTACTAATGATAATTTCTATATTTGCATATTGTGCAAGTTTTAACTTAATTAATAAGCCTATGTTACTTTTTTTTTTATCATCAGTGCTACTAACCAAATATATGCCTTTAAGATGTTTGTTATTATTAAATTATATATTTTAAATTTGCAGACTTTATATATTTTTATTTTAATCAATGATTATTTAAAAATATATAATTTTTTTGGCATTTCTTTCTTTTTAGATTTACATAAAATAAAGGATATTTTTATCAAATTTGTTTACAACTAATAGTTTATCTTATATTTTTGGTTTGGTATAGAGATGGACATTATGCATATGGTGTTCATGTCTGTATGAAGTTATGCATACACACAGTGTATGTATAGTATATGCATAGTGCATGCAAATTATTAAATTTGGAGTTTTCGTTAACCTTTAAAAACAGCAAAACCAATTAAATATGGATTGTTATAACACATAGTGTGCATGATACAACTATGCACACTATGCAACCATAAAAAACCATATGCACAATGCAGCATAGTATGTGCATAGTGCCCATCTCTAGTTTGGTGTGATAATATCATATAGTTACTTTATTTATTATATGTATATTATACAACTGTATTATATAACTATTTTATTTATAAATATTATCTTTTAAACTATCAATTTAACTATGTATCTATTATGACTAAATTACAATTCATTTAACTACATATATACTATGGTTTAAACTACAATTAAATATAATTTTTATAAAATATTCAGACAAATAACAGTTTAAAGATAAACAAAAATGAAACAACTATAGAACAATTATAGAAATTTTTATAATATAATTATAAACTATAGCAAAAACTGTAGGACAAATATAAACAGTTACAGGACAATTATAGAACAGCTACGAAACAGTTATAGAACAACTATGAAACAACTATAGGACAATTATAGAACAACTATGAGACACTATAGGACAACTATAAGACAACTATAAGACAACTATAGGATGACTATAGAACAACTATGGAACAACTATAGGACACCTATAAGACAACTATGAGACAACTATGGAACAACTATGGGACAACTATGGGATAACTATGAGACAACTATGGGACAACTATGGGACAACTATGGGATGACTATGGGACAACTATGGGACAACTATGGGACAACTATGAGACAACTATGGAACAACTATAGGACAAATATGGGACAACTATGAGACAACTATGGGACAACTATGGGACAACTATGGGACAACTATAAGACAACTATGAGACAACTATAAGACAACTATGGGACAACTATAAAGCAATTATGGAATTTTTTTAGAATTTTTATAAGTTCATATACTAAATTTTTTATAATTAGATTTATATATTATAGTTATAAATACTATAAAATTTATCTTAATTGATTTAGTTTAGCGATGCTTAGCCTATAATTTTTTATAAATAATTCAAATAAAATTTTTGTAAATAAAAATATATATAAGTATCGCATATGTGTAACTAAAAATATATTTATTAGACAGTAAATTCAATACAATTATTACAATACTTTTATTTAGTCTTATGCTTAAGTATTATAAATATATAATAATATCAGATTTTTCAACAATTAGTTTTTTGTATATTTTAGTATAGCATATTTTATTTTTTAATATTTTAAAATAGAAATTATATTTTTTATATAACTTTATTATTTATATTATTTAAATATTTTTATTTATAAAGTTTGTTTCGTACTTTTACATAATCAAAATTCATAATGCCTAAAAAAAAATTAGAAAATATTCTAAACGATGAACTTCCAAATAGCAATGGCAATTATTCATTTTTATCAAAAGAAACTTTTTACAATTTATATGATGATTATGTAAAAAACAATGTTAAAGAAAATTATAGATGGGATCTTGAAATAAATGAAACACAATATAATGAAATTATAAGTGTTCTTGAAAATCCAAAAAAATCTAAATTATTTAATAAAGATAGAAGAAGCTATATAACAACAAACTATACAATTAAAATTATCGATGATCAAAAAATTATTTTTTATACATTAGTAGGAAAAAGAGCAAATCTTAAAGATTTATGTTTATTAGTTAAAAAAGAAGAAATTTATGATAAACTTGCTAAATTACATATAAAATCTGTACATGGAGGTATAAATGATCTTTGGAATATTGTTAGACCAATATATGAAAATATTAAACAATGGGCAACTGCAATTTTTGTTAGTGCATGTACAGTATGTCAACAACGGAATAGCAAAAAAAAGAATAAAATTTCTGGAAGAGTAATTATAGCAAATAGTTTTTTATCCCGTGTTCAAGTAAATATTTTTAAGAAACTAATATTATTATATTTTTTTTTAAATATTATTATATTTTTATAGATTATTTTTAAATATTTAATTAAAAATATTTTCACAACTATTTAAAAAAAATTTAATAAACTTTTTTATTTAATTAGTAAATCAAATATTATTTGGATAATGAGCATAGAGTGTATAATGCAGTTTTTATATATTTATTATATAATATAGAAATGCAGTTTTTTTAAAAGTATATAGCATTTCTGTTTTATATAATAAATATAAGTTTTATATTACATTATACTAAAATTATTATCTGGATAATTTGCATTTACTAATTAATTTTAACAAAAAGTATATTATATTATTTAAATATTTTTAATTAAATTTAAAAAAATAATTTATAAAAATATTAAAACATTACTTTTTATTTTTATTAATTAATTATTTATTAATTAATTTTTTAGGTTGATATTATTGATTTTAGCCAAAATGAAATAGATAATTACAAATACGTAGTTCATGCACGTGATCATTTTACACGTTTTTCTTGGGCAAAAGCTTTACAAACAAAATGTGCATTAGAAGTTGCTATATTTTTATATGATACATTTACAGTTTTTGGACTACCTTCTATACTTCATAGTGATAATGGTGCTAAATTTACAGCAAAAATTATACAAGAATTATGTGAATTATGGAATCCAATAAAAATAAAAATTATTCATGGAAAACCACGACATCCAGAAAGTCAAGGATCTATAGAAAGAGGCAATCATATTCTTATATCGAAATTAGGAAAATGGATGATTAATACACAGAATCAAGATTGGACAATAGGGTTAAGACAAGTAATAATTGCCATGAATAATTCATATTATAGAGCAATTAAAGCAACTCCTTATGGGGCTGTTTTTGGATGGCCAATTAAATTAACAAATTTAGTAGTATCGGATATTTTAAAAGATTCTCAAATTATAAATGAGCAAGATATTGGAAGTGATATTGATATGCCAGAATATACAGAAAATTTAAGTGATTTGGATAGTGATTTAGATAAAAATTTAAATGGTAAATATATATATTTAATTTATATTTTTATATTTTTATTAATATTTATTTTTAATAAAATATATTTTTATTTTAATTAAAAGAAAATAATAATTTAAATAATATTAATGATAGTAAGTATTTATTATTTTATAATTTGTTTTTATTTTAAATCTTATAATCTAATTAGTTGATTAAGTAAATACATTATAATATATATATACTAATTATATAAATTATAATTACAAAATAATTAATAATAATAGATAATAAAGTTATTTTATATAAAAGAAAACTAGGTAAATTTATTTATAAAAAAAATAAAATTTTAATATTTAAATTAATTTTAAATTTTATTATAATTAAAGATAAAGGAAAAGAAAAAGAAATAAACTTTACAAAACAAACTGTAAGTTATAATAAATATATAATTTAATTTTATATTATTTATTATAATTATAAAATCTTATAGCTTTTAATAATTATTAAGATAATTATTTTTAATAAACTATAAAATTTTATAAATTACAAATTAATTTTATATATATTAATTATTTAATTTTAATATTTTTAGAAATTTAAACCAAAAATTGTTTATAAAAATAATATAAACAATATTAAATTTTTTGAAAAAACACCTAAATTTGATGATAATTGGGATATAATAAAAAATTCTTGGGAAAATTATTTTGGCAAAAGTAATAAGCATTTTCAAAAAGTTCCTCTTTTAGAAATGAAAAAAACACTTAATAATATTAAATATATGAAATTATATTCTCAATATCCTTTTGATGAGCTTGTTATTTGGGAAAATAAATTAAATTCATGGATTAGTGATTTTAATGAAAATGAATTTGTAAGTATTAGTATTTATTATATATAGTTTTATTAACTAAATTATATAAATAAGTTTAAATTATTATTTTAATTAAAATATAGCCAAAATTAGTATTAAATAAACAAGAGAATTAGAAGAATTAAATAAACAAGAAGAATTAAGAGATTTAAATTATCAAACAGAATTAGAAAAAGAAATAGAACTGGAAATAGAAGAGTTAAATAAACAAGAAGAAATAAAAAAATTATATATTGATATAGCTGATGATGAAAGTAGTGATATTTTAACAACTGAAGATAATAATTTTTATACTTATTCTGAAGATGAAGATGAAAATGATGAAATATTTAGTAATAAGTCTATTGAAGATGAAATATTTAGCAATAAGTATATTGAGAATGAAATATCTAGTAATAGGTCTATTGAAGATGAAATATCTAGTAATAAATCTATTGAAGATGAAATATCTAGTATTAAGTCTATTGATGATGAAACATCTAGTAATAAATCTATTGAAGATGAAATATTTAGTGATAAGTCTATTGAAGATAGAACAAAAAATAAATCAAAAGAAAATAATTCAAATAGTAAAAATATTAATTTATTAAAAGAACATCAAAAAAATCATCAAAAAAAATTAGAACAAATTAGAAAATCTAATGAAGCTTATAGAAAAATACTTAAAAAAGAAATGCTTCAAAGAATGCACAAAAATAAAAAAAATTACAAAAAAGGAGAATTTGCCAAAATATCTATTCTAAAAATAGATCGTAAATCAAGTCTTTCAGCTCCATTTTTATTTGTTAAAATTTTAAAAATTATAAAAAAAGGATTATATCAAATTGGATGTTCAGTTGGAATATTAGAACGTTATTATAAAGAAGAAGAGCTTATCTCAGTTCATTGCAAAGATTTTCCGGATTTAAATCATATTCCAGATATAAAAATATCATTAAGATCAGCAGTTAAACAAATTGAAACAATAACTAAAAATAATCAAAATAATACAAAATGTAAATGTACTAAATTATGTGATACTAAAAAATGTATATGCAAAAAGGTGGAAAAATTTTGTACAAAAAATTGTCATAATGGCAATATTTGTAAAAATTATAGAATATAAACTTCATATTCTATTTAAAATATTTATTATTTATATATATATTTTTTAAATATTATTTAATATATTTTATTTTATTTTTTAGATTATTCTAATTAGTTTTTTTGGTTAGATGGCTAACTTTTTTCTAATTAGAAAATTAGTTATTTATAAAACAATTATTTTATATTAAATATATATTTTTATAAATATGTATATCATATGTTATTTTTTATATAAATAAAATATTTTTGAAAAATATATAGATAATTATTTATTACATTATTATAATTCGAAGTTTTAAAGCAGCTACTTTAAATATTTAAAGTATAGTTAACAATAAATTTAATTTTATAACTTAATATATAATTGCTAAGTACAATGATACTATATATATGCATAAAGATATTATTATGAAAATATCAGAATGATATTTTCAAACCATTATATTATATTGTAAACTTTTCTTAAACTATCTAATATTTTATATTTTAATTTTTAAAAATAATATAGAGAACTGCAACCCGGACTCATGCCTATGCTTAACAAAAAATTTAGGCATGAGCATAGATACAAAAACTCAAATATAGGCATGGGCATAAGCACAAAGAACTTGGCAGATCATAGGCATAAACACAGAAATTAGATATTTATTATTTAATTATAATTGGCACTTTGAATAACATTTGTGTTCAATATCTTGTGTTTGGCATCTTGTGCTTAGAATTTTGTATATATGTTTTTAATAATGCCTAGCACTTTTGTGCCTATAGTTACAAGTATAGCATAAGATACCAATGTTTAGTCAAATGCCAATATGCTAGACATGGGCATTTGCAGACATCTAAAATGATATAAATAATAAATAAAAGAAAAATTTCAAGTATACAAACCAAAACACTATAAATAATAAGTTTAAAGCAACTAAATAAACTTCTGTACTTGCAAAAGCACCTATTTGACATAAAAGACTTACAAGAATCATCTAACAATGATAAAGTAAAAAAGATAAAACATAAACTCTGGCAAATATCATATTCTTTAGTAAAACAAGTCTTATAAATCCAATCTATACAAACTATATAGCATAAAACAATAACATATATTTATCAGAAACTAACAATACTAAATTTATTTAATTTGCAATCTTTTTATAACAAATTTTTTATATCTCTTTAAGGCACTTTTATTGTTTTTTAACTACAAAATTACTTTTATTAAATTTCAACTTTAATATACAAAACATAAACATCTTACTAAATATACAAAAGAGATAATTATTATTACTATTAAAGACTGTCAAAAATTTATTTTTATTATCATTTTTTACATCTCAGAATATGCTAATAATTACTTCTTTATATTTGAACTCACTAAATCTAAATGCATTCTAAATTTAACTAAATTTTCTGCATAATAGCAGTGCAAATACAAGACTTATCCAAATCCATCTTGATTAATCTTATCAAATTCATACAAAACTCTATAAACATTAATATTTACTTTATTAAAATTATTTGCAACTGTAATATAAACAATTCTGCAATCTATACAAACATTACTAACTAATAACAATGCAAATATATAATTAAATATAGCCTTACACATTTTTTTACAGCTAAATATTATGCTAACACCAATCAATCTATCTAAAAATAAATGGCCTTTTAATTCAACTTGACCAAATGTCAGTTTATAAAAAAAATTACATTTATCAAAATAACTTAACAAACTCTAAGTACTCAACCAATAATTATCAGTAAGCACTCTTTGACTAATACATAAAACTAGATATGCAACTATTTAAATTATTAAACTCTATAACTACAACTCTTAATTTAAATATAACAAATAAATCTATATATAATAAAGCTATACAAAAAACATCAATTTATCTATATTTGATACATTTAAAATTATAAAATAAATACAGAATATTTAATAAAAAATAGGCCAATTACTTTATAATCTTTTCAACTAATTACAATAACCTATAACAGAATTTATATTATACTTCAAACTATTGCTAATATTAAAAACTTGGTTAATAAAAACTATTTATAACATCTACTCAATATTTATGTCTATATGCAATTTGTCTCAAGTTCAAATACTGAAATATCGGAAATTTATAATCTTTATAAATAACTCTTAAATAACACTTATACTAATAAGAATAACTTAGTATACTTGCAACATATAAGCAATTTTGTCAAATTACAACTGTTAATACTAATATATAACAAACTATTATTAATATAGGCTAGGTGCTAAGAAAAAGGATGAAATTGACAAAAAAAAAGATCTTCGGAAAATCAATTTTTATGTTGTAAATCTTATAATAAATCATAGAAAAATGCAAACTTTAAGGAGCTATATTACAAAATTTTATTAACACAACTACTTTTGAGTCTTAAATGAAAAATGATCTTAATCTTATTTTAAATTGATTTATGTAAAAAAACAGCTTTTGAAAAAAGTGTCAATTTCATCCCTTTTCTCAGCATCTAGCCTATATACTATATTTGATTTTAATTATACTTATATTTTTTTAAGCAAACAAACTTATATACTATGCAAAAGCTTTTTACAAATTACAAATAAAAATAAAAAAATTTCTAAGAAAATTAAAACTACTATATACAAAGTTTACTAAAACAAACTTATATTCTTATTACTACTTTTAATTAGATTTATAAAATAGCTAATTCAAATATCTAAAAAGGTACTTTAAATATTTAAAATAGCTATTTTAGATATTTAAAATAGCTACTTTATATCTAAAATAGCTACTTTATATCTAAAATAGCTACTTTAAATATTTGAAGTACTACTTTAAATATTTGAAGCAGCTACTTTAAATATCTGAAAAAGCTGTTTCAGATACTTCAAATATTTAAAATAGCTACTTCAAATATTTAAAATAGCTACTTTAAATATTTAAACTAGCTATTTTAAATATTTAAAATAGCTATTTTAAATATTTAAAGTAACTATTTCAAATATTTAAAATAACTATTACAAATAAGATAGCTGCATTATAATACTGTTATGCAAAATCAAAAATGTAAATTTTAAAATAATATAATTAGAAAATTTAAGTTCTTTTAGTATTATTATACAATTTAAAAAATTATAATTAAAGTTTATAATCAGTTTATTTTCTTATATTAAAACTAATTTTAATTGGCTTTATTATAAGAAAACTATACTTAGTTTAAAATCTTTTAGATTTGCAATAATACAAATAACTTGCAATTAGGAATGAAGTTTGTAAAAAGATTGAAGTAATGTAATAAATTTATAAATTTATAATTAAAAGTTTAATAATAAATATTAATAATAATTAGAATTTAAAAAAATATATTATTATAATAGTTCTATTATAATTATTTTATTAACAAGTAATTTATTTTATATTATTTAATTGAAAATATACAGAATATAATTTAATAACTATCACCTTAATACCAAAAAAAAAAAAAATTTAATAACTATAAATTTTTATTTTTATAAATTAAACATTTTAAAATATATTTTGCTAAATATTTATATATAGTTTTATTACATTGCATTTAAAAAAATTTGACTATATTTAAACCAACTAATTCAAATATTTAAACTATTTATTTTAAATAATTAAAATAGCTATATAAATTATCTAAATTAGTTATTTTAAATATCTAAAGTAGTTACTTCAAATATATAAAGTAGCTGTTTTAGATATTTAAATAAATATTTAAAATAATTATTTTATATATAAAATAGCTATTTCAAATATATAAAATAGTTACTTTAAATATTTAATATAGTTATTTTAAATATTTAGAGTAGTTATTTTAAATATTTAAAGTAGCTACTTCAAATATATAAATAACTACTCTAAATATTTAAAGTAACTACTTTAAATATTTGAAATAGCTATTTTAAACATTTAAAATAGTTTCTTTAAATATTTAAGGTATTTATTTCAAATATAATTAAATATATCTAAATATATAATTCTGTTACATTATATTTTAATAAATCTAATTGCATTAAAAATAACTATTTTAAATATTTAAAATAGCTACTTTAAATATTTAAAGTAGTTACTTTAAATATCTATAGTAGCTATTTCAAACATATAAAGCAACAACTCTAAATATCTAAAATAGCTATTTTAAATATTTAAACTATTTTATATATTTAAAATAATTATTTCAAATATCAAAAATAATTATTTTATATATTAAAAACATTTTAAATGCATATTTTTGGAAAATTTACCTTATATTATAGCTATTAATTTTTATTTTTTTTATTTTTTTTTATTATTAATATAATGTTTAAGTAAAAACTTTTTATATATAGAATTATAGGTTCTAAAATTAAAGTTTTCTAAACTACATTTGTGCTACAAGTTGGCATTTAATATAATATTACACTTCTATTTTCTATAAGTACTATAGCTAACAATTCCAAATTAGGTTCTAGCTAAGATAGGTTAAAGGAAACCTTCAAGTAATTGTCTAAATATTATTAAATACAAGTAGTTAGTAAATAATTTTGTATGAGCCATTTAATAATAAAGAATTAGTATTTATAGATTGAGAAAAGATTATTGTATTGTTTGAAGAATTTGGTGATGTTAGTAAATAAATTTTAATGCATTTAGATTTTAATATAATATTACAGAATTTTTTTTAATAATGTTAATATATGTTGTAAATAAATCAGAGATTCTGATAAAACTAGTTTAATAAATTGTTTGATAGCTAAAATAAGAAAGTATTAGTTTGTTTATTAATAAGTGCTTTGATATTTCATAAAATGATAGAAGTAAAGGTTTTAATAATAGTATATAAATATATTTGAATTAAGGATTTGGTGTATTAAATATGAAATTTATAAGAATATTTAATAAGATTGTTAAGGTTATATTGGTAATTTGTAGTGATATTAGAGTATTTTGTATTGTATTTTTAAGAGATTGTAGAATATTTGTAGTATTATTTGGACAAGAAAATAAATGAAGAATGTCT